TAGGAGAGAGAGCGTACATTCCCGCTCCTATAAAATATACAAATTTTAATTTACCTAAAAGCCACAATATTGCGTCCGTTTCTTTACAATTTTCGTATTTTATTTGCTATGTCCGTGTCTTATGTTCACATCTAATATTCACACACAACCATAGATTTTTTTAAGTTAATAAGTAATGTGCCTTTAAGTAATGAAATGTAATTGTAAATAGATTATTAATGTTATGAAATTAAAAGTTTTTAGGGATCATTACAAATGTAGTTTTAATCATTATTTTATGCGTTTCTTTGACTTAACATTAGACGTATATGAGATAACAATTTTGAGCAATCAAAATTCACGTTAAAATATGTTTATGATTCTTATACTTAACAAACAAACTTAAACAAAAATACTAAAGTAATACAACTTGGTTACACTATAAGTTGGTAATAATGTAAGCCGTGATACAGCTCACGCTGGCGGAGAAACATCTTAGGTTAGTTTCACACGAGGGCAGCAGAGTAAAGTAGAACAGTTACAGTACAGTAATACTGTTTTTAATGAAAAATGAAAATGAAAAAAATATTTATTAAACCAAAAAGATTGTACAAAACAAATAACTTTGACAATACCTTAAAATTATACATAACAGGAAGTTAAAAATAGTCGTTATTTTAAGTTATTCTAGCTCAGCTTATCTGGTGATGGCCACACTAGGCAATGCCTGTATCGTGGCCACCGGAATTCACAGATACAATATTATCTGAACACAAAATTACATAAACCCACTCTCACGGCAGTGTTTTAGTATTTAATTATAAGTTAATCAAGTTTAAAATTTACTGTTATTAAAATGTAATTGGGAAAAAAAAATATAGTTTTGTAAATATTGTTTGAAGGCATAATACGGAGAAAAGTACTATTTGATCAAGGTTCTGGGCTAAAAGTTTAACTGGACCTTATGGTAGGTCCAATCAAGCTTTAGTAACTTATACCGCGCTGGTCCAATCTACAATAGTTGACTTTACAAGCATATTTGAGTTGCGTGGCCGATATATGCAAATCGCGTACCGACTTTTTAACTTTATTATACTAATTACATTCGGAAATCTAAGTAATTAATAATTTAATAATCATACTAATATTATAAATGCGAAAGTTTAGATGGATGGATGGTAGAGTTTCAGATCAGAGAGAGATTTCAATGAAATTTGGTATAGATGTAGAGGATAGCCTGGAAGAACACATCGCCTACTCGCTTTTCTTTTTTATTCCACGCGGACAAAGTCGCGGGCGAACACTAGTAGTACATAATTTGCTGTCTTTTCTTTTGCCCTCGTGTGAAACTACTATAACAGAAGCAGGTGTAACAAAGCGGCTACAAAGCGAGCAACTTGTCTAATTATTTCCGCCAACTAAAATAGTTGGAGGTAAGTTCGCGGGATGTGATTACTTACATAATACCGTTCCGCGGATCTCACGGCGGGTAATTACTTGGGAATTAATTACACCTGCTTGTCAACTTGAATTAGTGAGTCGAGACGCGAATTGTTTACGATGGTTTATGTAATCTATGTAAGGTATAAGTTAACGATGAATGCGTGAATTACGTATAAGGGAAGTGTGGGTTTATACTAAGTAAATAGCATAAGCTTTGTAATTTTGTATGTATTGAAATAATTCAAAAACTACTGGGCCGATTTCAAACATTCTCTCACTATTAGAAAGCTATGTTATTTCTGAGTACCATATAGTAAAGTTTAAATTTCACGTGGACAAAGTCGCGAGCAATAGCTAGTTTTGAAATCAAAAACCCGACTTACTTTAATTGATGAAAAAAATGTTGTAAAAAGAATTAGAAATAGAAAGGTAATGAGGAGTAAGATTGACTAGCAAAAGTACATCGTTAAAATGTGTTAACTTTATTAGTTTTTGCGTTTTTCGTGAAGTAAAAAAATGTATAAACAAGATAGTAAAAGTCTTTGGATGGAAGAGTACTAATTTTAGTTTCAAAACATTTTAATGTCTTTAACTCAGACACAATAATACTATTATTATAAATAAGAAAGTTTAGATGGATCGATGGATGAATGTTTGTTAGTTTGTAGCCTAAGCTGAACGGATTTTGATGAAATGTGGTATAGTCGAGGATAGTTTGGAAAAACACATAGGCTACTCGCTTTTGTTTTTCTTATAAATTCCACGTAGACGGAGTCGCGGGCGAACGCTAGCTATTCATAATTTAGTAATTAGTTAACACTTCATCTATATTACTTGTCAGTTAGTACGTGCTACCAACATACTAACTACTAACGAGGAATTCCATTACACGATTACTGATCTGTCTACGTGTCTCGCTAATTTGTGAAATACATCAGCGAGTGAATAATAAACAGTTCAGGAATCAGCTTTAACTATGTTAATTATAGCAAGCAAATCGATTTCTATAATGACTTAAGATCTATGCTTTTAGTTGCAGATTACAATAAAAAACAAATAACAGAGTTATATAATTTTAAAATAACAATGTAAATAAAATATTTATGACTAAAAATTATCGCAAGATTTCGTAAACTAAACCTATTTAGAAATGAGTTTTGGTATTAATTTATCCAAAAAGCTTCGTAACATTTATTACAACCCTTTTCGAAAAAGAATGGACGAAAGAAATTATTTTTAAACTCCACCGAAAGTATTCAACGGAGCGCATGATTCCTCTCATATAAAACCCTCTAAGCTATAGGGTTAGCCGTAAGCCACAATGCGGTCAGACGTCACCGCAATTGCGAGCAATTGATGATTAGGTACTGAGTACAGTCGATATATAGACGTAATTCCGATCATTAGGACATTGAAGAGACGAAAATTTGTCTAATTTACCGCCCAATAATAACCTTTCAATTAAACACCTTTTGATCCAGTTTTTATAGTTCGTCTGACTCTATTATTTTCCTCTACCTTTGAGGTTATATAAAGTAAAGTATGTTCTAAGTTTTATTGGGTAAAAGGCGAGTAAATGAGGCAGAGTATTTTAACGCTAAAAGACGTTATTGCCTGTTAAACATTAATAAAGCAAATTTTCACGATTCCGTAAATGGAAATGGATTTTAATAATTTAATATTCGCTTTGTGACGTACAGTTCTGTCCACTCGACTCTTTGTGCGGCGCGTACGTTATTCTAATACAGTCTTTATTGCAAACCAATAGAGTGCGAATTAGCGTACGTGATAACGTAAAGCAACTAAGCCCTACAATGACGAGTAAATCCTTAAATCTTGAATGACGTACTCTCTCGGGATGATATCACTTTGAAAGCCGGACTCTGACCATATGGAAGTAATTGCGCTTATCTGTTGGCTAACAGCCAATATTTATTAGACATTAGCAAAACGTTTTTCAATGAATCAGTATTAAACTTGACAAGCGGTATAATAATTAACTATGGTACAAATTAAACACCTCATCGTAATAAGAACATTGTATTGTTTCTAAGATTGACCTAATACTACTTAAAACTATCTTAAATATTTTGATTAAAATAAATGTTAATAACAGCTTCAACCTTTTTCTACTATTTACGTGAATTAATTAACTAGGGGACGTCCTATATTGGTACTATTATAAAACATTCTAAAAATAACGAAGGTGAATTCCATTACAGGAGTCGCAGACATTTATAGCATTCCGTGCGATGACAAACAACTTTTAAGGAAATAGAAGTAACGGTGTGAGGATTCCGGACTGAAAACAAATCTCGGCTGTCAACAAACAAAATGGCCGCCGACAGCGTCGCGATTTTTTCGCGCCATTCGTAAACAACGCGACGAGAAACTCATTTGGAGCTGTCACGCGGATTAAAATTATCTTGTCTCGCGATGTCGCGTTAGGTTTGGAATATTAATGATGGATATGAATAGAATATTCAAATTTCGAGGTTGATAATTTACTTCCGTAGATTATCTTGTCACATTTTACAAATAACAAAAGGAACAAAAGGTGGATGTGGTGAGAGGTGGATATGGGGAAAGTGGACTGATATATGACAAGGAAAATTTTAGATTTGAACATAAATTTGTTAGATTGTGCCTAAAAATATTAATGTATAAATTGACATTATGATCAAGGAAAGAATGATTACAAAGACGACATGAAAGACGTGCAAGAAGGAACTAACTTCAAGATGATAAAACTAACAGAGAATGATCATATACTAACAAATGAAGAAAATATGTCGGGTGATCGTGTCTTTGATTTTAAATTTGTTAAATTAGTAGTAGATGTAAATCTAAGTAACCTTAAAGTTATATGTATAATATGCAGACGATAACCAAATAATCTATACGCACTGATAACCACACCCCAATCTTTCGTTAATCTCTAAAATTTTCTTCCCGAAATCGTTTCGCGGAAAATTTGAAATGAGGTGGAATTAGGCCAGGAGCCACGGTGCGCACGCATGCATAAAATTAAAGCCGGGGTAATGAAACGTTTTCTATGCGCTAAGCCGAGAAGTTCGTG